TATTTTGAGAGAGAGAGAGAGGTACTAAGAGTGGTATTAATTTTACCAACTCTTATTAAGAGTGGGCATTAATGGTTGCAGGCCTGCCAAGAAGGGGAAGAAGTAGATGCTGAGTTTGATTATGACTGGTTTCTGTTAAGGTTCCTTAGTGTAATTGGAATGAATTAATACATGGGTTTGTAGGATTTTCTTTTTCTCTCGCGAGGCAGGAATACGTACTCTCTTCTTAGCGAACTCTTTTCATGAAGTTCATTTAGATATGTTTTGATTTGTCAAATTTTGTGCTGCAGACCCCCGTTTCATTGTTAATTTGTTTGTTCTTTATATATTTGGATATTGTGCTGGTTTAAGCATGGGTTTCCTACCTTATGCAAGTAAGCAGTGTCTTAAAATTTTGCCCAAAGATGTACTTTTGTAGCTTTCGTATCTAAACGCTCTCGTACTATGTTCCACTTTAATTAAGAAATAAAAAATGTGCAGTCCAGTTAGATAGTCTAGATAACTTGTGATAAGAAGAAGTATTTTTCCTATTTGAAATTATTTTTTTCTTTATACTATATATCTCAAGGTTCATATGATTTATTAAAAGATTTTTTGACTTCAGAACGCTCTTTTCTACGAAATATATGTATTCTATTTCATTTTTATGGTATAAGGTTACAACTTTATATGAACTTTTTCCTTTTGGGGGAAAAGATTATATGAAGTGAGGTCTTAAATAATCAAATTAAGACGCTCTTAAAAAGATCACTGGAAGAGGATGTTCTGATCTCTGAAAACTCAAGATGTATGGACATACGAAAATATCAATTTAAAGTCTTGGAAGGAATGCATATTGTAATGTATTTTATGGTTTGTCATTTTTCAAGATTTTCACGTGTTTATATATGCTCTTTTTAATATTTTTGTATAAATCTGCTTGATTATACTATTTTTAAGCTAAATTTTATAATAAGAGACGAAAATATATCCAGGCCAATCACAAAGATTGTCAATTGTGAAACAATATTTTTCGATACTATTTGAATATGTGCCTGACTTCGATTATTTTCACGCCTTCATTTCTAGAAGGGAAAACGCTGCTTGCCATCGTTCATAGTGTTACACAGTGGGGATCATTACTCTTTCCTTTTTGGTTTATCAAACTTTCTGGGATGCCAACCTTGTGTTTTTTTGACCTTAAAACATTCTCCTTGAACCAGAAATCGTATTCTCCTTTTGAGTTTCTGCCTGATCAATCTCTCTCATCTACCATGATTGATCATTTTGAAACTTCCAATTCCAGGAAGTTTTAATTTATTATGCTTTCGTTTTTTTAAGAGAGGAGCAACGAGAGGCCGACTTTAAGAGGTTTTAGTTCTGGACTATTAAGGAAATTGAGTATTTGCAATTGTATCCTCTATAGAAGTTAGCATACCCTTTTTGTGGGGAAGTTCATTTCACGTACTTTGTCATATTTCTCTCAGCGTTCTATTCCTTTCTGAGATTGTGTTTTTTCTCTTATTTAAATACTCTTGAAATATTTTGACCTTGCCATGCTTTTTTCCCCTGTAACCCTAAGATGCCTTCTTTTAATGCAGTTTCTTCCTCATTTTTTTTTCTCCCGAATTCATTCTGTTAAGGCATGTGTATTTTTCTTCTTCTTAATTCGTCCTTAGTAGCATCTTTTCTAGTTATCTCCTCTCTCTAACCATGCTTCTCTTTCTCTCTCTTCTTCTTAATTCGCCCTTAGTAGCATCTTTTCTAGTTATCTCTCCTCTCTAACGATGCCTCTCTCTCTCTCAAAAGTCTAATCTTTATGGAGTTTTGTTAGATGACGGATGAATTTGTTCCATGTATTTTAGGACCTCTATGCATGTTACAAGGATGTGCGTAATCTTCAATTTTTTTTTAAAAAAGTGGAAATATTAATACCCAAAGCCTAACCTTCAATTTAAAAAAAAGTGGAAATAACATCAAGGATGAAAAGGGGAAAAAGTGGAAATAACATTGAGGAGAAAGGGGGACAAGAATGGACATCATGGTTGGATATTTGGTTTGAGTGAGAGACCTATGGGTTTCTTTTTTGGGTAGATAGATGTGGATTCGGCTAGAGGCGAGCTCCAGTTTTTGTAGAGACATGATGGATCGTGGCCTCTTGGTTTTGATAAAATGGGTGGGATACGCAGGTTGGATACCTGGGTTTTGGGTTAGGGAGAGACCTATAGGTTTTCTTTAGGGGTAGAGAGAGAGGGGCATGGAATTGGCTAGAGAGGTGAATCCTAGTTCAGTAGATGTACGGGTTTAGAGAGATTTGGGCCTTTCGATTTTGGTAAGTGCTTTGGTTTTGAGAGGGAGATCAGTGAGCACCCAGCAAACAGCAGCCTCGAGTGCTTTTGTGTGGTTATACTCTATCCAACTATCTTCCAATCTTTCATCTCTTCTCTTCCTCTCAATTTTGCAGATCTCCTCTCTCTCTCTCTCTCTCTCAAATCCCCTCTCTTTCCTCCTCTCTCTCGTATCTCTTTTCTATTCTCAAATGTCTTCTCTCCCTTTTTATCTCATCCCTCTTTTATTTCTCTCCTCTCTCTTTTTGTCTCTCTCTCTCATATCTATACTCTCTCAAATCTCTTCATCTCTATGATCTACTATCTTATTCTCTCTATCGCTTTTTGTCTTTTAGATATCTGCGTTCAGTTCTCTCTCTATTTCTCTCCCCCCTCCAAAAATCTACTCCTTTTATCTCTCTCACTCAGACCTATCTCTGTCCCTCTTCTATGTTACTCTTTCTTTATCATGCCATAGTTATTTTCTTTGACCCTCTCTTTTGTCACCCTTCTTCTCTAAACATTTTCTTAGCATTCTTTTTCTTGACCTTCTCTCCCTCTAGCCCTTGCCTCTGTCTCATAGTTCTCCTTTTTCTTCAACCGTTTCTTTAGCTCTCACAATTTCCTTCTAGCGTAGCCCTCTTTCCTTTGGTTCATTTCGAGCGAGAGGCAGTACCCCACCTTTTCCCTCATCATCTCTCCTCTCCACCCCTTCCACCTCCCATCTCCTTTCCTAGTCTATTTCCTTCAGTTCACTTCACCTTTCATCAATGATCTCACATTGACTTTTAACTTCACTTTTTACCTTGATTCTCTGTTACCTAAAGTAGATTAACGCTTAAGATGGATTTCTTCCATCTTTTCGGATTTAATGTCTTGTTGTGAGATTTCTCGGGCACTTGGGTTGTCTTTGAGAGTTTCAACGATCCATGTATTTGGTTACTTAGGTTAGTGAGCTCCATCGGGGTTTTACATTCTCCCTTTGGGGGCTTGTATTCCTGTGTGTGGCTAATACTATGTTCTTGGGAGAGTTGTTAGAGCTTAAGTGTGCTTTGAATAGGTGGTTTGCGCTTCTTAGATCCCCCCTCATGTTTTTTCCACCTCTTTTTCCTTTGGTCCATCTTCTCTTCACTTCAGCCTTTTCACTTGATGATCTTTTCTCTATTCCTCTTTTCTGTCCCGATTCTCCTTTGATCTGACTTTTAGATCTTATTTTTTGGTTACTAGTTGCTTCTTGCTATATTCCTATAGGTGGTCATGCTATTCTTGTTTTTCTTTTGTGCGCCGCCCTAAGCTTGGCCTGCGCAGAAGGGAATGTGTTTTATAGGGGTCTTTGTGAGAAGCTTGGGTTGCACAGGTACAGGTACACGTTATTGTGAGGGATGCCTTTAGAAGTTGCTTTATTTGGTTCAGCAGGGGTCTTTTGGCATTTGGTGGTGTAGGATCTTTGAGGTTATGTTTTTTTTTGTGTTTGGAAGTAAGATGAATCATATTTGAAAGTAGAGAGTACTACTCGTATTTTTCTATTTCTTCTTCTTCGTCTCTTTTAACTTGAAAACTCATGGAGTGTTTCTCATTTATTTAATAAAAATTAATGGTTAACATTAAAAAATAAAAACTGTAGAGAGATATCTATGACTTTATGAGTTGGGGTAGAGAGGTGGATTGGGCAAGAGAGAGAGAGAGAGAGCTTTTATTTTGAGTGAAGAGTTGTAGCATCAATTTGGGCCTGAGAGTTATTTTGAGTGAAGAGTGGCAGCATCAATTTGCGCGAGAGAGAGAGAGTGTGTGTGTTCCGAGTGCTTGGCTAAGTTGGATGGATGGAAATGGAACGCTATGAACCCTCGGTAGTTAGTACAAGGTCACAATCACGTATCAATCATATATAAAATTCAACTATTTGAAGTAGGGGAAAAGTTTATATAGAGCCGAGGCCTTAAACAATCAAATTTGAGCTTACCTCAAAAATTTCATTAGAAGATATTGTTTTGATGCCCAAATATCTTCATTCATCATCTCACCTCAAAAATTTCATTAGAATATATCGTTTTGATGCCCAAATATCCTCAAATTCATCATCTCAATATCAAAATGCATGGACATGATAAAAAAATGGATTTCAAGTTTTGGAAAATAGTATATTTTGTAATGCACTTTTGGATCGTCAAGATTTTCAAGGTTTCATAGATCTCTCAATCTACATTATTTTTGAAGCTTTAAATTTTATAAATAAAGATGAAAATATATTTTAAGACTATCAAAAAGATTTCCGATATTGAAACCATATTTCTCGATACTATTTGAAGGTAGGCTCTAATTTGATTGTTTAGAGCCTAGGCTCTATACAAACCGCCCCTTTGAAGTATTGTTGCAAAGTTTGATAAAGATTGTTTTAGACTTTATGTTGAGTCAATAGTAAATATTTTAGCCTCATTATTTCACATCCAAGTGAGGGGGATAAGCTCGAAAAGAAGGGTGAAAATTTTTAAATTATTATAAACTTTGAACATACAACTCTTATTAGTATGAATTACAAAAGCCCCTAAATTATTGTTAGCAACGGTCACCCTACCTTTAACTATCATAGCAAATGCCCCCCAAAGTAAAAAAAAGACATTGTTTTTACGAAGTTACCCTTTTTTGTACTTGAGAAATTAATTTTAGGACATTGACGTGGGATGACACTTATTACATCAACTGGCAGACCGCCATGTATAATTTGTCGGACCCGTTTAAACTAACAAAAAGTGCCGGACCGCATATTTATCAAGAAGCAAAAGTGTCGAACCGCATGTTTATCAAGAAGTAAAAGTGTCGGACCGCCATGTACATGTGTTGGACGGCATGTTTATCAAGAAGCAAAAGTACCGAACCGTCATGTACATGTGCCAGACCGCATGATTATCAAGAAGCAAAACTGTCAGATCGCCATGTACATATACCGGACCGTATGTTTATCCTAAAGAAAAAGTATAGGAGCGCCATGTGCATGCGCCGGACCGCATGTTTATCCAGAAACAAATCACATTGAGAAATGTGACTTTTTTACTAAAAAAAAATATGCCTTTATGACTTAAAGGGGTTATTTGCTAGAAAAGTATTTTTTTGAGATAAAAATTACGAAAAAATGTTTGGTTGGGGGGAAGTTGCCTAAAATGTCTAACCTTGAGGGGTATTTGCAATTTCCCCTTATTATAAAGTTGTAGTTTGATGGCATCTTAGAAAAACATTTTCTTGGGTAGGTCGTTAATGGAAAGTTGTAGTTTGATGGCATCTAGAAAAACATTTTTGGACCTCTTGGGTAGGTCGTTAATGGATGACTTGCGTTGATGTGGGTTGGTCTATCCACTATTTAAGAGCATTGGTCGCAAGCCTTGCTGTTTACAAGCTCATCCCTATCCTGTGAGCGAATTTACAGAATTATCAGAGAGGGCAATGTGAGTTGCATGAGTAAATGTGATCGTTACCGATGAATGGTTCATAGAGGTCCCTATGAGGGTCATAGGAGTCACACAAGTGAGAGCGATGGGGGGGGTGACAAAGGGATGGATATCAGGGTCCTCGCTTTGAATGAAGAGGTAAGTTGTGTTGTCACCTCCTCTTCTTGTGGTTTGGAGCAATTCAATATCACAAAGATTTTTGTAGCAACACGCTCATGATCCGCATCCAAGTGATCTTCAAGGGTGATATGCTAGTGGGGTTTGGTCAGATATCATCATGCTCGATCGTATCGAGGATCGTGTGGTTTTGTTGCTCGACAAGCTGGGATTCTGTCATGGCAATTGGTGCTGCCTTCTGTGGTACAGCCATGCTTTGGGAGGTAATAGTTGAAGATCCTTTTTAACTTTTTTGGTTTTGCCGGCTTTTGCTCAATTTCACTCCTGTGATTTAGTCCTTGTCAATGAGGTATTGGACTACTGATCAAGTAGGAGCTTAAGGACCTATTTCGTTGGCTCTTTTTATTGGTATCTGTCCTTCTGCAGGGACATGAAACTTCAAGAGGTTTGCCCTATTCTAATCCGATAACACTCGAGCCTTGAGATGTAATTAATTAGTTTGCCTCTTGCAAGGCTTCGGTGATGTTAATTTAGTTGACATTAGTCGTCTATGGAGTCTTTACTTCTCTTTTAGGAGGTGTCGCATAGGCCATTGGTGTCAATATGGGTGAAAGAGGCTTCAATCCAAACTATTTATCCTTAACTAGCTATCACATATTAAATTATGAGATTTAATCACCATTATCCCCTAGTCAATCCAAGCTATTAATTTCTCTTAATGAACATACTTTCTATATAATGTCTATCTTTAATTTAAGCAAACCAATGAGCAAGGTTATTGATGTGATATTTAGTTAATTTAAGAGAGAGATAGACTATAGATGGAGTGTGCCTTTAGGTCAATAATTTTTCTTTCATATTGAATGATTCATTTTCTCTCTCTCTCTCTCTCAAGCTACTCAAAACACATAATGGCTTTATATATGTAGTGAAGAATAGTATGACATGTCATTCCCAAGTAGGCTAACCAACATATGACAAGTGCACCTATTGGAGATCAATTATAGAATACCCTAGGTCCTTGATTGAATCCCAAAGCATACCCCTTTTAGAATAAAAATGACAGTGTTCACATGTGCAAAGTGGTATACATATCAGACATATTAAAGATACGTCTCTTATAAAAACAAGGCCACAAATAGGCGGGTTGCCCATAAAAATGATGTCATGTTAGCATTTTATGCTTTTGGGCCTTTTGGACCCATACAAGAGCTACTTGGACATATGTGGGGACTATTGGCTACTTAGGCCTTGTGGCAAAAAACTCTTGAATGTCTTTGATTGGTATTATTTTAAACAATGTTTTAAGTTGTTCTTGGGTCCCAAAAAATTATATAAAATTATTAAAAATCCCTAAAATTAATTTTCAAGTGTGTTTTACTGATTTCAAGATGTTTGGAGATACAAAAAAAACATTGAAGAGGAATTAGTTAGCCACAGACGTGGAATCATACAATGCCAGGGAATTTTGCTAAACTTATCCCGAAACTCATGACCACATTCTCATATCCACCATATGGAACCCATAACTCATAGTCTTGCAAGGTATCATGTTTGCTACATCAAAGTCGACCAACAGATGGTGGAGTTCTATAATCTAAAGCCGACTTTAGATACACCCCCAATGACAAGTACAAGAGCCACACATGGATGTAAGGATTCCTCAATCAAGCTCATGTGCACGACCCTCCCTGGAACTTCCTCATGCACAAGGAAAAAAGCAAAAGTGGTTTATGCCACAGTGAAGAAATAAGTCAAAATGTGGCCTACTAAATGTGATACATCGAGATAACCACCCAAATGACCTCTTGGCACACTAAGTTCCGAAATATTGCAAGAATCACTAGAAGTGGCTGCAATATATAAAAGCAGGCTCAAATCTATAAAACTACTCCAAACGACAATACGAAGGTTCTAAACTTTAATATGAGGTACCCTGAAGCTACCTTCCAAATCAGGCCAATTTGATATTAGATGACCGAGATATAGTTTCATAAAGATGAGCTACAAAGGGAGTACCTCGAATCAACCTACATTTGCAAAGGAACCCTAAGAAATCCATGGACAAACGATATAGAATTTTCAAGGAACAAGAACACCATATTAAAAGGTTTAAGTCTCAAATTTGAGCCCATTATGATGTTGGAGGACCAAGCCAAATTTGATTCATAATTTTGAATAATTTTGGATTCTCAAAAAACTATTTGAAGAGAAATTAGGTACCTTAAGAAAATGAAACTTGAATAAGTCAGCGCTCCACTCGGTTAATCCCATAACTATGAGCCATTTTTCTTGGTTTGACCCAACAAGACCTATAACTCATCCCATAGTCTATGGTAGGGGCTCTTGCTTGGCTCATCAAAGTAAACCTAATAAATCTCCGGGTCTTGAAAGTGTATTGAATTGAAGGTGCACCACAAAGAAATGCACTCTTCCAAGTATGGGTGTTTTCTCTCTGGCAATTATGCATAAATGTTTCCAATAGACTAACTGTGAAATAGTGGCTTCCTATATGTAACCGCACATGACGTGAGATGGCTTATTGTCAAGGATTTGGATTGTGTCCTCTCAAAGCCTAACCTTCTCACAAAGGGCCCACAGAAATACTTTGAAATATTCGAGCTTACAGTGATTCTTGAACTATAGCACATACACTCAATAATACTCAAATTATATGCCCTATCAAACAATCATGAGGTACTACTGCCAACCTTGACTAGGGTTAGCCCTCAACCATTTTGGCTTATTACCTCCATGTACTCAATCCTCATGATCTTTGGCTTTTTAACTCTATTAGTCACCATCCACAAATATTTGGTGAATTACTATGTTCTTGTCCACTCTCACTGTGAACAAGAACCATGAGAAAATAATAGTATCAAGACCTTGAACAGGCAACAATTCCAACATCAAGTAGCACTATCTTCAATATAGTTTTCTACCTCCTCTCAGTGTCAATTGAGCAATAGCAGGGTTAATTCCTTAGGATAGAATCAAACTTGACATACACATTTATCCAAATCTAGCTTGCTAAACTAGATATGGACTTTGAGATAGTGATTTACCAACTGTGACATAAAATAAGCACAAAAGTAGGAAAGATTATCCTATGTGCCTTCACTTGAGGAAAAAAAGCTAAGCATTCAGAGTAAAAAACTAAATGAAGTAGATATTTTGGGGAGATTAGAGAGGAGTGTGCTTTGTAGAAAACAATGGTGAGAATGAGCGAGAAGAGAACAAGTAAACATGTAATACAAATGTATTTTCAAATGTGCTCAAGGGGGATTGCTTAGAGGCTAAGAGAAGATGTTAGTGATTTAATAGATTATAGCAATGGTCATCAAAGGGATATGGGTGTTGGCTAAAAGCTCAACATTCAAGAGGAGACTCAGAATCTCAAAAGAGGGGAACATGGGTGGAGGCTTTGGGGCAAGTTTGAAGAGAAATGATGCAAGCATTTATTGTTGGTTCTAAATCCCATGAATCATTAATCCTCTCTCATCCTTACAATGTTTATTTCTTAAACTAATACTCTTTTCCATCAATACTCTTTCCTTGCATCAACTCGTTCTCTCTCTTTCACACACACGCATCAATACATCCAAGTATATCTCTCCCTCTTTCACACGCACACACACATGAATACATCCAAGTATATCTCTCCCTCTTTCACACACACACATCAAATACATCCAATTATATCTCTCCCTCTTTCACACACACACATACACATCCATACATGCAAGCAGATGTGCAAACCCCAAACTAGTTCTCTTATGCAAAACTCCAAAAATATATTATACACAAAATTATTAAAAACACAAGTGTCTGCCCCTTTCCTCGAGTGTGTGTATAGGAGCCACCCCAAACATAAATCGATAGAGGCAATTTCACACAAGTAAAAAGGTCTACAAATTTCAATATAATACTCTTACAATGGGGTTTGGAATCTCTTGGACTCAGCTAGGCATGTCCTCTGAGACCGTTGGCTTATACCCCCTACATGTTATGGGCTCGAATCAGTGAAGAGGGTAAGGGACACAATAAATCTCCCTTAAGGTGGTGGAATATAAGCTTCCCCTTGTAAATCCTAAGTGATTGAGTATGACCAAACCTATTAACCAACAATATTGGGAATGGGTTTTTCTCCCTCTTTCTGCAAGTATTTTTTGGGTAAATTTGAGTTCAAGCATGCTAACCTTCTCTCTAGGGTTAGAGGAATGCAAGGACTAATGATTTTTTCTGTCTAGAATACCCACCTTCTAACCTTTATCCCCAAGAAATGGCTAATGTTTGGGCCCTTTCTAGAAGTCAAATGAAATATGAATGGAAAAATAAGAGTTTAGATAATTTATCGATAGGTTATCAACTTCACTCTTGAAAAGGGCAATTTTCTTGTGGTCATTTTTGATAAAATATCACATATTACCCTTAAAACCTGGGGATCTATATAACCCTCCATACCCCTAGTTATTTTGTCACCTTTCTGTTGGAGGGCGAAAAAGAGGCAAAAGGTACTACAATTTCAGAAAATTAAAGGTTTGTGTGCTTCTTGTTTTCGGGCACGCATGAGCATTAATCTCAAGGCAGTATTTTACCCCCTTTAATACTTTTTAATGTCCATAGGAAAGCCAATTTGTCCTCCTAATACAAAAAATAGAGGTGTCTATTTGATGTTCCTCAGTTCTATGCACTCCAGCTTGGAACCCATACACTAGACACTAGAGTCTTGGTAATTTAGAGAAAAAAAGAGACAAAATCAAATAGAGAGAGTATGTTCTAAGTATAAAGTGTGCTATCAAGGGCCTTCGGGCACGCGTCGCACATTTCGCGTGCTCAGCACATGCATCATCTCTCACACCTCTTTTTTTTTTTTTTGGTGATTTAGTGGTATTTTTTTTTTTTGGATGATTCAGTGGGGATTTTTTTGCACATGCACCATCTCTCATACCTTTTTGTTTTTTGGGTAAATTCAGTATTTTTTTTTGACGATTCAGTGGGTATTTTTTTGCACATGCACCATCTCTCACACCTTTTTTTTTGGGTAAATTCAATATTTTTTTTTTGGCGATTCAGTGGGGATTTTTTTGCACATGCACCATCTCTCATACCTTTTTTTTTTTTTTTTGGATAAATTCAATAGGGAAGACAAACACCTACTAATTAGAGAGAGTTTTTTTTTTTTTTGGGTAAATTCAATAGGGAAGACAAGCACCTACTGATTAGAGAGTTACATTTTGAAGGGTGTTATTTTAACTGGGGA